CCCAAATATGTTGCAGGACACCAGTGAGTGGGTTGTAACTGCAAACCAGCTTGGGAAACAAATGTAGTGAAAAAATGCAATTAAAAATACCACATTTTTTGCCAGGCTTAATAAAATGGCAGTAAAATAGCCATCTCCTGTCACTCTGTTAATTAATCCAGAACAAGTCACTACACGTTTGCCTATATTCAGTTATTAATCCCAGCTGAAGTAGACCTCTAGAATCAATTATTAAATAGTAAATCAACATATGCATACATCACATTAAATTAATAAGTCTACTCTAGTTCAGACTGCCTGCTGGATTTAAAGTTATGCACTAACTGTTGAAAATTCAACTGTAGGCTTTGCTCCTTAGCATTGCAGAAGTGGAAAAATCCACACTCCTGCCATTGTACCGCGACCTTTATATATTTTGGACATAACAAAACTCTCTTAAATGATCTTGAGAAAGTTCCTTCAGCCCTCATTGCAAGACGTAATGCAGAACTTCCCAAACTGTGTGTTGTGACCCATTTGTGCAGAGCTTTCCAAACATTTCATGTTGGTGGCACAGTTTTTAGACATGCATAATTTCACAACATGGTCATTCAGTTTTACCAGCAAACTGGAGGCCAAACCAACCCCTTTATAAGATATATGGATCCAAACATAAATTGTAATGACAAAGGATGACATGACATTGGTCTCCCTATCGCTCAGTTTGCTCCTGTAAATTTGGTTTAGGGCAGGGCCTTTGGAATTCTTAGCTAGAGAGATCCTGGCTTCTCTCAACTACATTTCCCAGATTTCTGCAGGAGCAAACCGGGCAATAAGGAGACAAAAGCTTTCGTTATATAACATTAATATTCAGCCTCATCACACCAGAGCATGGATCCACTTTAAATCCAGTTTCTGCCTTTTGCAGAACTCTGGGGTTTGTAGTTTAGGGAGGATCCTTTAAACTGCTCAGCTAGACAGGTTCTGAGCCTCACTAAACTGCACTTCTCAGAATTCTGCAGGAGACAGAAACTGGATTTAAAGTAGATCCATGCTCAAGTGTGATGAGGCCAGTTGTCCCTGTGATCTTGTCCAAAATGTATGGGGACACAACATAGCTCATGTAAACCTTTCACACACACACACACACACACACACACATCCTTATTTCATAGACTCTCAGAAGTTTCTCATTACATTTGTGTGACACACCTACACCCTGCAACCGGGGCACACTAACATGTCAGGACACAGTGTGGAAAGCTCCAAATTTGTGTGTTGACTGCAATGTGTAGTTGGATTGTGAACGTAACAAGATATAACAAAAATCTTTGAAATTAGTATTCTTTTCTTACAAATCATATATTTCTAAAATTATAAATGAAAACTTTTCATTATACAGGATGGGTGACACCTGGCTCGAAAACTGTCCATGTAAAAGATATCTTGGAATCTTAGGAGGCCACAGATAAAACATAAGCCAAGAATGTGACGCAGCAGCCAAAAAGGCCAGTGGGATTTTGGGCTACATCGAAATGACTATAGTGTCTAGAGATCAAGTGATATCATGCTGCCCTTCTATTCTGCTTTGGTCAGATCTCAGCTGGAATATTGTGTCAAATTTGGGCATCACAATTCAAAAGGGATATTGAAAAGATGGAAGGTGTCCAGAGGAGGGTGACTAAAATGATCAAAAGTCTGGAAACCAAGCTAGATTAGGGGTGTTTTAAAGAGCTGAGGATGTTTAGCCTGCAGAAGAGAAAGTAGAGAGGAGACATGTCCACCATGTATAAATATGTGAAAGGGTGTCATAAGGATGAGGGAGCAGGCTTGTTTTCTGCTGCCCTGGAGACTAGGGGCCCTTCCACACAGCCAAATAACCCAGAATATCAAGGCAGAAAATCCCAGAAGGGTGCAGTGGACTGAGCGTTGAACTTGGGCCTCAACTGGCCATGAAGACTCACTGGGTGACCTTGGGCAAGTCATACTCTCTCAGCTTCAGAGGAAGGCGAAGACAAAACTCCCTCTGACTTACTTAAGCTGTCCCTCATTGTCCTAGTAGGATTGTCTTCCAAGATAGGTGTACTGGCGGTGAGTACGTAGGTGACTGTGGAGCCCTATTCTTGATCTGCATGTTCTCCCATAGTGAGCACATCAGTTTCCAGGTGGAAGGCGGTGCCAGTTGGGGTTGGCTTGACGTGCCTTCCTCTTGGCATGTTTCTCTCTTTCACCCTCCATTCATGCGTCTTCAAATTCTACAGCACTGCTGGTCACAGCTGGCCTCCAGCTGGAGCGTTCAAGGGCCAGAGCTCCCCAGTTCTCAGTATCTATGCCAGAGTTTTTAAGGTTGGCTTTGAGCCCATCTTTAAATCTCTTTTCCTGTCCTCCAACATTCAGTTTTCTATTCTTGAGTTCGGAGTAGAGCAACTACTCTACTTGCTGGCTGGGCATCCAGACAATGTGGCCGGTCCAGAGGAGTTGATGGCAAAGGACCATTGCTTCAATATTGGTGGTCTTGGCTTCTTCCCTTTGAACATATCATAGGGTCACCATAACAGACTTGAAGACAATCAAGGCTGTCCAGACAGGCCCTATATCCCAGGATACAATCCCAGGTTTTCTGTTTATCCCAGATTATCTGGAGGTGCGGACACATATAATCCAGTTTAAAGCAGAAAGCCTAGGGCTTGTCCACACAACCCTATATCTCAGAATATCGAGGCAGAAAATCCCACATTATCTGAGTGTGGGCTCAGATAACCCAGGGCCATTCCACACAGCCCTATATCCCAGAATATCAAGGCAGAAAATTCCACAATATCTGCTTTGAACTGTGTTATCTGAGTCCACACTCAGATGATGTGGGATTTTTTGCCTTGATATTCTGGGATATAGGGCTGTGTGGAAGGGCCCCCGGAATCAGATCCTGGGATATAGGGCCTATCTGGAAGGCCCCTTCCACACAGCTGTATTAAATACACATTGAATTGGATTATACGGAAGTGTGGACTCAGATAACCCAATTCAATGACGATATTGTAGATTATCTGCCTTGATATTGTGTTATATGGCCGTGTGGAAGGGCCCTCAGCAGCAACGACAAAAGAGAATGACTTGGAGCCAAGTCACGGTGGATGGAGGTCTCTTCCACACAGCCAGGCCCGTAGCCAGGATTTTGATTGGGGGGGGGGGGAGTTTGATTGGGGAAAGAGGGGCTACCCTAGCAAACCTTTTGTATCATTACCCCAATACCCCCATGCATATGGGATATATTGAGCATGGTGATCAGATCATGATATGAATAAACATAACTGTTTAAATAATGTACCAGTAAGGCCTTCTCGTGGACCACCCTGAGAATTTCAGGGGGGGGGGGCTGAAGCCCCTCAAGCTCTCCCCCCTCCACCGGGCTACGGGCATGGCTGAATCCATGGATACAGAATATGAGGATATGGAGGCTGACTATGTAGTGAGGTAATGGGGCGAACAAAAGCATAGAAAACAAGCAAACATCATCACCATCATTCAAATGTTGAAAACCAATGCTTTGGGGTTTGGAAAAATTAGCTGTTCACAAGAAACGTTGCCCGGGGGATGCCTGACTGTATTTACTCAGTCTTCAAGGAGGCTCTTTCCATGACTCCTCTTGGTGTCCCCCCAGCAACAGTAAGGGTATTCCTCTTCCTCTGCTAAACCAGGAAATCCCAACTGGATGGTCCCCCACGAGGGTCTTCCTCCGGGGGCAAACCAAGAATTGGGCAACTTGGAAGTCCCTGAACAGACTCAGAAGTGGAGTGGGCAGATCAAAAGACAACCTGGCAAAATGGCACTACCTAAAAGAATCCCACACCTTGTGTGACTGTGGAGCAGAACAGACAACTCCGCATCTGTATGCTTGTCCACTATGCCCTGCCTCATGTACAGAGGAAGAATTGTTGGAGGCTACAGACAATGCCATTGCTGTTGCCCGTTTTTGGTCAAAAGATATTTAGCCACCTGCGCTCCTTCTATTTTTATCAGTTTTATGCAATGCTTTTTGACCGAAAGGTCGCAGGTTCAAATCCGGGGAGCGCCGTGAGCTTCCGCTGTCAGCCCAGCTTCTGCCAACCTAGCAGTTCGAAAACATGCAAATGTGAGTAGATCAATAGGTGCCGCTCTGGCGGGAAGGTAATGGCACTCCATGCAGTCATGCTGGCCACATGACCTTGGAGGTGTCTACGGACAATGCTGGCTCTTTGGCTTAGAAATGGAGATGAGCACCACACCCCAGAGTCAGACATGACTGGACTTAATGTCAGAGGACAACCTTTACCTTTATCTACAGCCTTCTTGCTGACCACCCTGAGAATTTCAGGGGGGGGGATTGAAGCCCTTCAATGCCCACCCCCCCGCTATGGTAAGGTAAAGGTTGTCCCCTGAGCCAGCGTTGTCCATAGACACCTCCAGGTCATGTGGCCAGCATGACTGCACGGAGCGCCGTTACCTTCCCACCGGAGTGGTACCTATTGATCTACTCACATTTGCATGTTTTCGAACTGCTAGGTTGGCAGAAGCTAGGGCTGACAGCGGAAGCTCATGCCGCTCCCCGGAATCGAACCTGCGACCTTTCGATCAACAAGCTCAGCAGCTCAGTGCTTTCCACTGCACAGCCCTGTACGCAGCCCGATATATCAAGGCAGAAATCCCATATATCTGCTTTGAACTGGAATATATGGCAGTGTGGAGTCTGATAACCCAGTTCATAGCAGATATTGTGGGATTTTCTGCCTTGATATTCTGGAATACAGGGCTATGTGGAAGGGCCTGGAGGTTTCATTGTGAGGAACCTTTCCTATGCTTGCCTATTGGAAGGCAGCAGCAGCAGCAGAGAAAGAGGAAAACAACCGCCCGGCGCAAGCCCTCGCGTGTTAATTCCCATCCCTTGAGCGGCTCAGCCGAAGAGAAGCAGCGCAGGCCTCATTGGCCAACGCGGGGCAGGCCTCTCCTCCCGGCGCAGGCGCAGTGCGGCCCCCTTTCTCTTTCGAAGCCCCGCCCCGCCCTGCGTTTCCTCTCTTTCCCTGGACGTTCTGTGAGGCTGCGAGCGAAGCCATCCGCTGTTGTTGTCAGTGCCTCTCTCCCTCTCCCTCTCTCTCTCTCTCATCCCCGGCGCGAGGAGGCAGGAAGAAGCGCGAGCGCCGTCCGTCCGTTGGGCGCGCGAGCCGGGCAGCCGCGGAAGCACAGACACACACACACGCAGGCAGGCGCGCGCGCGCTCAGGAAACGACCGCGAGCCCTCACCGCCTTCTTTTTCTCAATTACTCTATTCATTATTTTTGTAATTGTGGGCTGAGGAGAAGGAGGAGGAAGAGGAAGAAGAGGAGGCCACTCTGCGGCTGCCCTGGCCGAGGAAGAGACCTTGTCCATGAGGGGAGAGAAGCCCCAGGCCGCGGCTGCCGACCTCGGGAGTAAGTGAGGGGCGAACCCGGCGCTGGTGGGGCCTGGGATGGGGAGGGAATGGGACCGAGAGGGACTAAGCGGGCCCTTGGAGGCCCCAATCCTGGCCTGTCGCAGGCGGGCAAGGCGAGAGAGGGGTGTGCGCGCGCGGGTCTCGCTCTGTGACGGGTGTGCGCGTGCTCGCTTGCCTGCCTGCCTGCCTCCCTGCGCGTTCACAGAGAGGCCCGCGCGCGCGCGCACACCCCTCTCTCGCCTCGCCCGGCTTTGCGACAGATGTATACGCGATGCTTATGAATGATCGGTCTTTTGCGGGAATATGGATGGCCTCCGGGCAGATGCAGTGGATGGGATGCGGCTCCGTTGAGAGCGATGCCCATGATGCCTAGCATTGCTTCCCCTCCTTCCCTCTCTCCCTTTCATCCCTGTTGGATTCATCTCTTTGATGGGAAAGGCTAGCTCCCCTCCCCTTGTCCCTTCTCCACCTCTAGCGCTGCTTTCATTTCATTTCCCCCTCTTTCTCTCCCGCCCTCCCAGCCCTCTGCAGTCCTTCCCCAATCGAGAGTTGGAAGGAACAAGGAGGGCCATCCAGGCCAACCCTATTCTGCCCTGCAGAGATGTACACACACACAGATACACACAATCAAAGCACTCCTGACAGATGGCCATCCAGCCCCTGCTTAAAAACCTCCAGATAAAGACTCCACTCCAAGGCAGTATCTCACTGCTAAAGAGCTCATACTGCCGGGAAGTTCTTCCTAGGGCCCTTCCACATAGCTTTCTATCCCAGACTATCAAGGTAGAAAATCCCACATTATCTGAGTGTAGACTCAGATCACCCAGTTGTGGGATTTTCTGCCTTGATATTCTGGGATATAGGGCAGTGTAAAAGGGTCCCTAATGTTGAGATGGAATTGCTTTTCCTGCAATTTGAATCCATTGTGTCTAAGGGCCCTTCCACACGGCTATATAACACAGAATATCAAGGCAGATAGTCCACAATATCTGCATTGAATTGTCCACACTGTCATATAATCCAGTTCAGTGTGATATGTCCTATATCCCAGGATCTGATTCTGAGGGCCCTTCCACACAGCCCTATATCCCAGAATATCAAGGCAGAAAATCCCAAATATCTGCTTTGAACTGGGTTATCTGAGTCCACATTCAGATAATGTGGGATTTGTATTGTCAAAGGCTTTCATGGCCGGAATCACTGGGTTGTTGTATGTTTTTTCGGGCTATATGGCCATGTTCTAGAGGCATTCTCTCCTGACATTTCACCTGCATCTATGGCAAGCATCCTCAGAGGTAGTGAGGTCTGAAATATAGGGTTTGTGGAAGAGCCCTCGGGGCCCTTCCACACAGCCATATAACCCAGAATAGCAAGGCAGGAAATCCCACAATATCTGCTTTGAATTGCGCTATCTGAGTCCATACTCAGATAATGTGGGATTTTCTGCCTTGATATTCTGGCATATAGGGCTGTGTGGAAGAGCCCTTAGTCTCGAGAGCAGCAGAAAGCAAGCCTGTCCCCTCCTCAACATGACATCCATTCAAAGACTTAAAACAAGGCTATCATGCCCCCTATCAGCCTTCTTTTCTCCAAGCTAAACATACCTAACCCCCTAAGATATGTATGAAACATACATGAATTTCATGTTTATTCTTGCGCTCCGTATCCAATATATCTCATTATGTATGGAGATGCAAACAGAAGCATTCCCAAATAAATAAAAACCCAAAATCCCAGGCACTTCTGGTGCCAAGCTTTTTGGATAAGGGATGCTATACCTGTGTATTCATCAGGCTTAGGGGGAAGTTCATAGACCCGTGCTGCAGACCTGTTTGAAGCGGGATGACAGTGCATCTCATTTCTGCAAACCGGATACCGAGACAACAGGTTTGTCCAGAGTGAGCTGAGAGTAGCCTTTTCTTTCCTTCTGGTGGCGCAGGATGGATCTGCCGCGAAAAAGAGCTTGATTTCTCCTCCGGTGGAAGTGTTTACATAGGGATGTCATGCAAGAAGCATGTTATTGCACCAGTGATCTGTTTGGCACACAGCAGTGCTTCTTAGCTGCATTAGTTTGTGCTTTATTTGCCAGCTTCTGAGACTGGCAGCAAACCTGTGGAACATTTTTTTCTGTTGACAGCTCCCATTCTGGTAGCATTAATAAAGGAATTCAGTTGAGAGCCTTACAGACATATGAATGAGTGATTGGTTTACAGAAAAACAACGCTGACTGCAATGTTAGCATATCTTAGTACCTTTATTATTATATCAATGAATAATTCCTTGTTCCTTGGACAGGTCTCAAAATAATCCTGAAATCTGTATAGCTTATATGTTGAGACATATTCCAATATATATGCTTTCCGAGGTTAGCTGTGTTTCACATTTACTGCTGAAGTAGCTGAGGGCTTAACCATGGCTTTGCTCTAGTCTACTAGAATGGATGTGAATTCCTTTCAGAGGATGTAAGTCAAGATCTGTTTAAAGCCTGACCTCTAGTGCAGTCACTCTTACTCATTTAAGTAACTATTTTTACATAGCACTTTATGGGGATGCATAATACTAGGCTTTGTGTAAGAGCAGAGAAAGAGATTTTAGAAGAGTTGTCCTTAGGTATGTGAAAGGCTTGGAAAATATCCACTAGGGAGAGCTTCAGTATCACTGTCATGAAAAAGTTTATTACTTAGTTTTAACAAAAAGATGCTATCAATAAATTCAATCAGATATAAAAAGTTCCATATATAAAGATGATATATTGTGGTCTTTTCCTCGGTGATCACGTCTCAGATCAGTGTATGCTTTTACTTTCTGGAATGTATATCTAACATAATGTTATGACATAATATTTAAAGAGAAGAAATTCAGTTATTGAGTCAGACTTAAAGGCATTTCATACATTGATTATTTTAGTTGAGTACACATAACTGAGTAGGTATAGGAGTAAATAATTGTTCAAAAGAAATATAAATGGTTTACTTCACTTAATGGTTATGTATAGTCACTACCAGGATCTTTTACTGGAATGTACAGATGACAGTGTGATATAATTGATTTCTAATTAAGCCATCTATCACAGATTCTGTTTAAAATAGATAAACAGAGGCTGTTGTAGTATGGCTTTTTCATTTAGTCACAAATTACTTTCTGCCAAGGTGGCCTGATTGTCACCTTGTACAGGTAATTCTACTAGCTCTTTTGTCTTCTGAATTAAATTAATTGATCAGCCTATACCTCCAGCGTTATCTCAGTGCTTTCACAACATGATTTATATGTCTCAGCATTCATGTTTTGTTTCATATTGTTTGCTATTCCTGATGTCACTTACCTATATTTTATGTTCTTTTCCACAAAAACTTAAGAGAGGGGTTTATTTATTTATTTATTTATTTACCGCCTTTCTCACCCCTGGGGGGGGGGGGCACGACTCAAAGCAGTTCACAGTAAAGTAAATGGCAAAATTCAGTCTGTCATAAAATATAAATACATCACATAACTAAAATAGCATATAACAATAGATTAAATCATTAGAAGTATTCGCTTGATCTGTCTTGCAAATTTCTTTTCACCATTTCTGATCATATTGTCTTTGCTTGTTGTTCAAATAATGTAGAACTAGATACTTAAGTTATTAGAGAAAGAAACTGTGGAACAGAACATTTATATTATTCCCTTTCTGTGGAGTGGTGAACAAAATGTGTGCAATAAACTTATACCCAAGGAAAGGTTAAACCTTTTTGACACACATATAATGCTTTTCTGTATTTTTAAAGATTAAAATGCTATACATCATTCTTAAGGATAGCCTTCTAATTAAACAATTGGCTGTGGTGAACTTTCAGTTGACTCAGGAAAATGTAGTTTCTTCAACTCTGTGTGTGGCTGTTTGCCCTTGTGGGCAGTTGCCATAAAGCACTACTCTGTTTTCTCTGCTTGGTGAACCTACCAATTCACTGGGGTGGCTTCTTGTTCCTTCACATTCCTTCTGCCAAATATGAAAAAAGACACTACTCTTAGTCTTAACGTACTTTTTCAAATGTAATTTTATAAGTCTGACCATGTAGTTTGTAGAGTTTGTTTCTGTGAATGGTAGTAGCCCATGCAAAATGTATTTTCTAAAATGTGAGTGTGTAATTCATGTGAACTCATTCAATACAGTGTAGGATTTGTGACATGGAGAGCTCATGGTACTATCAAGTTACTTTTAATGGTTCAGGAACAGGACGTTAAAGGATGGTAATTTTTTGTAATTGTTCTTGGTATAAGTCATACGATACATCTAGAGCAGAGGATCTCAAACTTTTTAAACAGGGGGCCAGGTCACAGGCCCTCAGACTCTTAGAGGGTTGGATTATAATTTGAAAAAAAAAACATGAATGAATTCCTATGCACACTGCACATATCTTATTTGTAATATGAAAAACACTTAAAAACAATACAATAATTAAAATTGAAAAACAATTTTAACAAATATAAACTTATTAGTATTTCAATGGGAAGTGTGGGCCTGCTTTTGGATGATGAGATAGGATTGTTGTTGTTGTGTGCTTTCAAATTGTTTCAGACTTAGGTTGACCCTGAGCAAGGGCCGGGTAAATGACATTGGAGGGTCATATTCGGCCCTCAGACCTTAGTTTGAGGACCCCTGATCTAGAGAATGCTGTAACAAGGGTTTATTCAATTTCTGATTTTAATTGGTTTTATCTTAAATGCTGAAACAGATGTGATGCATGAAATATATGTCAAGATTGCCTATTTGCAATACATAAATAATAGCAGCAATTTTATTTTTTATTTATTTAAATCCTGTTTTATCTCTCCATACGGAAAACCAATTAGTGGTTTTGAAGCAGCATTGTGGCACAAAGAGGGAATTTTTACTCTTTCCTCTGTGCCATTGTTCCAATATTGAGTAACCCTTGGTGTTTACGCTATAAATGGATGTGTGTATGGAATCCGTGTTAGGAAAAACAGCTTAGGAAAAGGAGTTAACTACTCCCCTGGTACCATAGTAAAGTTTTCTGTATCCCCCATAGCTGATACTAATACTGTTTAATCTGCAGAATAGTTTGAACTTGGATTTCGTGTACCATATCTGGTTGGACCTGATATCCTACTGAACATTTGAAAATTGAAGAAGATATGTTGTGCTTGATAGGGTCACAAATTTTGCCACAATCTTATAGAAATTAACCAATTTAAGAGAATAATTGGAAAATATCAGCCTAGAACAGTGGTTCCCACCCACCCACCCCCCCTTTTTTTTAACCAGGGACCACTTTGACCAGGGACCACTCTTCAGCATTAGTTCCAAAAGTGTTATGAACCAGTTTTTGGTCAACTTTGGATTTGGTTTGGGGTGCTGATTCAGAAAATTACATTGGATAGACCACATCAGCTCTAGTTTCTGATACAGAACATATGCTATGGTTAGCAACAGGGAAGGAGTGGCAGGTGGTGCAAAAGGAATGGAAACAAAATAAATAACATAAAATAAATAAATGGGCGGCTTGTAGATCAGATTTTTGTCCTCGCAGCCCACTGGTCGTCTGTGGGCCACAGGTCAAGAACCACTGACCTAGAAAGTTACTATAGTGGTATATATACTCTCCAAATTATATACAGGCTGTGCTAATGTCAGGACAGACTGTTGTATTCATTCATCAGAATATCTGGTTTTCAAGATCTCCATACTTAAGTCTGACTTACTTTTTCGTCTGAGCCTCAAAAAAAGGGGAAAGAATGGCAAAATACTCCAAAATTTCGGCTTTACAGGGAGCTCCATGTTAATCACCTAGTATGAGTTATGTTGGTGGGTCACCTATAGAAATAGTTAATCTACAGTATGTCATTATTATGGCTCCAAACTAAGCATAATGTATAGAGAGTAAACTACAATAATGACATTTTAGAAAGTGTTTGTATTGATTTTTGCTTATCAGCTTTCCCTAATTTTGCTTAGTAACTGATTCATATTGCCAATGTTTCATAAAGTATGTTGTTAGTCAGATCAACTATTTTTGTAGTCATTGCAGAACTTCTGTGTTAAATAGTAAGTCCAAGTAATTTACATAGTCATCATAAACATGCTAATGCAGGGTGGGCAACCTGTGCTGAAGTTGGAGTGTTATAATCAGAGCCAATGTAACCAGTGGTGATCACTGGTGGGAGATGCTCTCCAAACATTGGGTTGTAGCACTTGTTATATTTCATTATTGGTTTTATCATGATTGGACTTACAATCTAATAAAATCAGGAGAAGATACTAATTGTACATCCACTCTTGCACTTTTGCAAGAGGAAGTTTTTTGCCTGTCCTCTTGTACCACCTTCGGTGTTAGTTTGGTGATTCAGTTCTCTGAATCAAAGGTGAAGAGATAGTTGTTTTTCTTCTTATTGGAGATGCTATCTTCACCAAAAGTCCTGTGAATAAAAAGACATGATTAAATTGAACCTACTGTGAATTGCAAAGTAATAAATACAAATAATAAAAATAGTAAGAAAAACGAACAACTTACAGAGTGGAGCAATAGTAACTGATAAGGAGAGCCACCACAAATAAAAAGAGATTCTTACAGTTCTTACAGTATGGAAACCAGAAGTGACCTCTGATTGCTTCCAGTTCTGATTTTGGGAGGCATTGTGGCTTATCTGGGGTCTTCTTGCCCCCATCGTCTACCCTGATCTAAACAAATGTACATAATGTCTGACGTTGAGATAAAAAGATTGCTCATTTGAAGGGACCTCTTTTTGTCCACAATTTATTCAGAATCAGGCTATCCTCTTTTTTAAAAAAACTATAACGTTAGTAAAAGTTCTTCTTAGAGAACGTTTATGGTGTTAGTATGTCTGACATTTGAAATGTTTGTCCATGGAACTGTGGGATGTCAGGATGCACATATCTGTATCAGTATTTCAATGAAATTTACATAAAGAAGGAATTGAAAGATGCTGTAGTACATATTTTGATCATGTATTTTCTAGTAAATGTTCTTAAATATATTTTTCATAGGAAATAAGGGAAGAAGAATGCAAAGCTGCCCTCAGAACTGGATATGGAAATATCAGTAAATGAACCTTCAAATTACTTGAAGAAAAATTGAAAATTCATAAGAAAAGCATAGATGAGATGATACCTCTGGAGAGGGCACTGCCAAAGGTGGTAAACCCCAATTTATTTTCTTCAGCATGGGTCTTTTTTATTTATTTCAGTGCAGTAATACTTGTGAAACTTCTCTGTAGCAGTAGTAAAATGTCATGATTTGTAAAATGCTTTACTAAAGTAACTATTCATGATCATCCTCTGCATTCATTATACAAAGTACACACAATGTTTAGATGTAATGCTGAGTAAATTACAATGAATTGTTGCAATCCTTTGACTCTTATGCTCCCAATTTTTCCAGCCCAGTTTTGAGGATTTCAGAAGATTTATGCTTTTTTAAAAAATTAACTGTAGCTTGCTGTATAGACCCATTAATTTTAACTATGGTTTTTTTTAAAAGACAGCTATATCATTTCAGCTAGGTATAGTTAAGGTTAATCAGTATATAGGATTGAACGTCACACCATTTAAAAATCTAGAACAGACTTTTAAAGCAGAGGGCCAGTTTACAGTCTTTCAGACTGGGGGTGGGGGCAAACTGTAGTTTGAAAAAAAATGAACAAATTCCTATGCACACTTCACATATTTTATTTTTAGTGCAAAAAAAATTAAAGAACAATACAGTGTTTAAAATGAAGAACAATTTTAACCAACATGAACTTACCAGAATTTCAGTGGGAAGTGTGGGCCTACTTTTGGCTGATAAGATAGTCAAGTTAATTAGGATTGTTGTTGTTGTGTGCCTTTCAAGTCATTTCAGACTTAAAGTGACTCTAAGTCTAAAGTTTAGGGCAGGAACTAGGTAAATGACCTTGGAGGATCACATTTGACCTGCGAGCCTTAGTTTGGGAACCCTTGATCTAGAGGCTCCAATACTATTTTGAGAACTGTACCGGGGAAGAGGATTGAGAGGCATGTGAAGAGAATGTAATTTGTTGAGTCTTGTTATTGTATCTATGGTTTACTGAATATAGACTTTCCCATGCTTCAACTGTGCATATTCATTTCCTTTTTTCTTTATATGTTTTGCTGTTTGTGATTTAAAGTACATGGCACTGAAATCTTGATATGTTCCTCATTTACATCACATAGAGACAAACAGTAAATCGATTTGCACATGTGGTTTAAACATAAACAAAGCATAGTTTTTGTATTTTAATATCACAGTACAAAATAATTGCCCAGAACACCACTTCCTAATTTTGTAAAACCATTTATCTAGTGTTTATACCTTTTTAACAGAAAGTTTAATTCTGTTAAAGAGTGTTTAATTCCTTAGTTGGTTTGTACTGTTGGAGCATGGAACGTTACTAGTGGTTAGTAGCCACTATCTCCTATATAAAAAGGATGGAACACTCAAGGAGTTGTGAAAATTGGTTCTACACTAGCATGTTGCTTTGACAGAAACACTGATTCAGTAAAAATACAAATAAATGCATTACTTCCTAAAACTCAAAAACACTGAGGTGACATTTTAGTGAGAAAAGCATGTTTTCAAGTTAAATATAACACCCAAGGAAAAAAAAACTGGCTCAACAAGCTAAAGCTGACTGAAGTGGTTATGCATTCTAGATATAAATATTGTTCACACAAGTTGTGTATTAGAAAATCAATTTATGGTGTTACAATATCAACCTCTTGTATAGCTCAGCTACCCCACGCCCAACTTTGATAACTGCAGATATTTAGCAGGGGTAGTTGGGCATGGAATTCCAGAGTCCTGTTCCTGCACAGAAATAATCTTTGTTTTATTTTATAATTCCTCTATGTGCTTAAAATTAGATTGTGTTCCATCACATTTTTGTTAGAGACTTGAAAGGCTTAACTTGTTGACACATAAACATCTGTTGTGGTAAAAAAAGTGTGAAACATGTATTTGTTTATTTTGTGTATTAAAGCTTAGGGAAATTTATGCTCTTGGGTATATAAAGCAAACAGGAATTTGAGAATGCCAGCAAAAGTTCTTCCTTGGTTTACACTTCTCTGGTATTCTTAAATCTTTCAGATAGTATATCAATCACATCTGCCTTAATAGGCAGATGAACGATGTATTTTATAGTCAGGGACTGATGAATTTTCACTTCCTAATATTAGAGTTTTAACATTCTATTTACACCTCTTACTGTATCATTTGCTTGCAAAATGCATCAACTGCAAGCTTTATAGCTGCACAAGTCATGAATGTTGATGTTACTTGAAGTTGTTGAGGAAGTGCTGAATGCATTAGCTAGCATACATGTATGTATATATCCCTTCAAGTTGTGTGTTGGCTTATGCCAACCCTACACATTTTATAGGGTTTTCTTAGGCAAGGAATTCTCAGAGGTGATTTTATCAGTTTTTTTTAGATATAGGTTGTATCGCCTTGTATTTATAGACAGTCTCCCACTGAAGTATTAACCAAGGCTGACCCTGTTTAGTTGCTATGATCAGTCTGACTGTGCATGTAATTGTTTAAATTCTTTGTCAACATTACAATCACATATGCATGCTAAGAATTTCAATTTGAAACAATTTAGGACAGACTTCTAATCATGGAAACTTTGCTACTCATACAAATGAGAGATAGAATATAGATTTCCAGTGTACTGTATAATTTGGAAGCAAGATACATTGACATATTGACTGCTTAGTCTTCCCAGGGAGTTTTAGAAAATTGTATTTTTGAGTGATCTAACATGTCAGTACTACCAATCTTCTCCTCCAAATTACTGCTGTCCCATTAACTAATGATTAGCTGTATTAAATTAGTGGTTACAGAAATATATTTTCATTAGCTTTACCTAAATTGCATTTAGGACACCGTTACCAATTTATGGTATTCCAGCATGTAAAATATACCCATATGCTCATTTTGTATTCATGCAATATTTGGAGGGAGAGGAAAGAGAATCCAAAAAAAGTAATATTGACTTGGTTAGGCACCAAGTACTATGTTGAGCTTAGACATACCCTACTGTAGTTTCCTGTAATTTCACAAATCCTCAGATTCTGTTCAGCACTCATTTGAGTTGTTTGCCATTTTATGTAAGGGATTCATTTTACTATGCCATTGTATATGGGACTTGATAATCCATGGATTTAATACAGTGGTTGGCAGGGGGAGATCCTGGAATCAAATCTCAGCAGCTGTCAAGGATCGTATATAGTATTAAGGGATGTAAATATTTACTAATTTAATTCTCAAAGAAATTAGCAAGTTATTTCAGTAGTTTTCTTCCAGGTTCAAGAAAGTCCTTGAAAACTATTGAGAAAAACACATGCTGCTGGTTGAATAGAAACTTCAGTTTTTGTGAAGAAAAACTATGTGAGATTGCTTGTGCAGAAAAGTCCTGAACTACAACTTTATATTTGTGGAACTACTTGACTATAAATAAATTTACATTTTGTAATTACTTTTCTTTTTGATTTACAGGTGCCTTTGGCAGTGAAAATGGGTGGAGCATCTCATGTTCTTATATGAGAAGATACCAGTTTCCAAAAGCTTCAATATTTATACTTGGAGAAGCATGGCTGGTTTCAAACGAGGTTATGATGGAAAAATTGCTGGATTATATGATTTGGATAAAACCTTAGGTAGAGGGCATTTTGCTGTTGTCAAACTTGCTAGACATGTATTTACAGGTGAAAAAGTAGCAGTGAAAGTAATTGACAAGACCAAGCTAGATACTCTGGCCACAGGACATCTCTTCCAAGAAGTTAGATGCATGAAACTAGTGCAGCATCCTAATATTGTTCGTCTGTATGAAGTTATTGACACTCAGACCAAACTTTACCTGATATTAGAACTTGGTGATGGAGGAGATATGTTTGATTACATCATGAAACATGAAGATGGTCTTAATGAAGACCTGGCAAAGAAGTACTTTGCTCAGATTGTTCATGCAATATCCTACTGTCATAAACTGCATGTAGTTCACAGAGACTTAAAACCAGAGAATGTTGTGTTCTTTGAAAAGCAAGGACTTGTGAAATTGACTGATTTTGGCTTCAGTAACAAATTTCAACCTGGGAAGAAACTCACTACAAGTTGTGGATCCCTTGCATATTCTGCTCCTGAGATTCTGCTTGGGGATGAATATGATGCACCTGCTGTGGGTAAGTCAAATTTCAGATGTTCTTTTGTTTTCAAACTGAGCTATCAGAATTGATAGTATGATGGATAAATTATATAATGATCCCTAGAAGGACACTTCACACTGTTAGTATAGTAGCATTAAAGTACATGTTGACATTAATAGGAGCTTGCTGCTCTAAAATATTGACAAGAATTTCATAATGGTGGGCTCAGCTCACTTGCATACATTTGTATGTTGATGTGAAAAATGTAAATGGTGTAAAAATTGTATATCTAATATTTGTCCTGTTCCTAAATCATGTCAAGTTGTGTTTTTATATATATAATATACAGCTAGATGTTCTGGGGTATAAGTAGCCTTGAAAAAGCAGGGACATTTTGTAGAGCTCCGCAATGAAAGTAACTTAGCCTATATAAAAGTTCCATAATACTTGTGTTTACAACAATTAATGTAGTCAACAAGTTAATCAAGCGTTGATTTAATTATTGGACCTATACCTCCACATCTGCTCTTAGGTGAAGAGAACTTTCTGCACACACATACACACCATTTCCTATTTTGATATCTGCATCCAGAAATTCATTGATAATTTTATTTCATTCCTTAAACCATGCTTTTTTAAACTAGGAGATATCAAATATAGGAGAAAAGAGAGGAGTAATAACTTCAGTGGAGGGAGAAGTAAGGTTTTTCCATACAGCCACTGTGAGCAATGTGTGCTACACTATTCTCAGGTGCTCAGTGTCTCTTCATGTTGGCTCCACCTCCAAATTGTGTTATGTTTTTCTCATGCCTTTTTAGGGGGATCAACTTTAGTGGTATGGTTAATAGGCAACTCATTTTGGCTCATTTGGGGGCATTTGCTTGTGCCAGATTCCTCACCTGCTTCTTGACTTTTTCCTCTGTTTCCAGATGTACTTTTGGTTTGGAATTGCCATGCTCTGTCTCCTCCAAAGACTTGTGATTTAAAAAAATACTCCCCATACAATAACAGCAAGCTGAAATGTTGTCTTTCTGAACAGTGCAGTAATCATTTGGCTCATGGTACCATATCATCTCAGCCTACACCATGAAGAAATGTTTTCACATGAACAGAAATAAGCTTCTGTTATGAACTATAGAAGCTGAACTACATAGGAAATGTAGTTGTGTATTTTAAATATCTTTTAAAGGGGGAGAAAAAGAATGGGGCAGGAAAGGACTCAAAAGAGTCTGCAGTATCCAAATATTTTTTGAACCTTGGGAAAGAACACAGTTCATACAGAACTGAAATCCACCACTAAAACAACACATGTTCTGTCAATGTGAGCCCATAAACAGTTAATGCCTGGAAGATGTTTTTCCTCCAAAGTTGCCACTCTGTTGCCCTAATATAAGGACATTTTGTTCATAGAGCAATGGAGTGATGACCTCTGTGAGAGGGGGCAACTGTGATGTGAAACAATTTTCATAACGTGAAGGACTGTGACTCCTGATTTTTAGCAAAAAATGCACCCTGGAACTGACCACTTCCAGTTTTCATGTCCAGGTTTTGAACCAATCTGTATTGAAGAGCAAATAAGATATTGGGCATGTTTTGTTGGTGGTTGAGTGATTTTTCTTCTGGAAAAATATTGAAAGCAGTCTAGAAACTTTGTGAGAGTTTCCTTGATCAGGCTTAACCAGGAATAGAATTCAAGGGGACATGCCTCTTGAGTGCATTGTTGATCATTGGGCTAATTCAACAGGCAAATGTAAATTGTTGATGAATTAATAACATTGAATCAATGTTCTTGTTATTTTGCTAGTATTTTTCAGTTTCTCTGGAAGAACAGGTACTACATGGGTTTTTACAGATCTTAGGTTTTTTTGTTTTGTTAATGTCATTCATAGTGTTTAGTATAAGTTGATTATAGATCTGAAGACTAGGATTTGAATCCTTGGTCAGCCATGGAAATTCACTAGGTTACCTTGGTCAAGTCACTTTCAACCTCAGAGGAAGACAATGGCAAACCCCCTCTGAACAAATCTTGCCAAGAAACCCCTGTGTTGGCACTGGCAACAATTATGGTGTGGAAACACAAAAGCCAGGTAGAGAAGTAAATTAGAAGGTGTAGTAAGAGATTGAGATTTCTACCCTAAAGATGGTTTTTGTGGAAAAGAGTAATTTCAGTTACTGTAGGGAAAAGCAATTAAATAAATTATATTGATGAGGAAGAGCCTCTGACTGATAGAATACTTAGTTGTTTGAAGGTCAGTAGGTTTTCCATCTCATACAGTGTTTTAAACTTGTTGTGTGCTAGTGTTTTCTACTAAGTTTTTATGTTGTATTATGAAAATCCTTAGTATATTTAGAGAATTTAAGTACATTTGTGAGTTAGACTTTTATGGTTTTGATTATTTGCAAATTTGATTAACATTCTATCTCTAGGCATCATTAGGTTCTCCACAGGGATTCTGTGGTCAGCTTTCAATTGAAGGTAACCATAGAGTTGTTGCTGAATATGAAATTAATAACTAAGAAAACTGTTATGATATAAGATTTAAACCCAAGTGAGCTGGCTAAACTGGAACAAGCATTAGAATGAGGTACTGTATACCTCATTAGAATGAGGTAACATCAGGAATGATACTGCCAAATTGAAAAGGATGGTTTAATGGGTGGAGACAACAAGGCTTCCTTCAGAAAATGGAAGTCTTGTCCAAACAAAGTCTTGTCCCATCAGTCAACAATAACAATATATATAAAGAATTTGGGGAGCATTTTGCCAAAAGAATACCAGTCATATATTTTCTGAATATATCAGAAGTAGGCTACTGTGATGTATCTCCTCTTCAGATGGGCTTTATAGCTCCAGTCCTTGGATACTGTCTGGATTGTATGTCCTTAAAATCTCCTTCCTGAGTGGTTTTTAGGACACAGCGTGATGTTTATTCTGGATAGGCAGATGTGTTTATCAGTGGGTTCAGTTTTGTAATGTGTGACTAACTTTCCTTATTAATTCTGAAATGAAGATACCTTGGTGCAGAGGCAAATAACAAAACAGTAAAACCTGTTATGTAACATATAAATTAAATCACCTATCAACCTTTTTGACTTGGGGAGCCCCTTTTATAATCAATTTCTAAGGCAGAGGCTCTTAGGCCAATTCTTTGTATTACAAGTTAATGGTGTTTAGAAGTAATGTTACGAGGGAAGAGGAGGGGAAAGATAGTAAGGTAATGTAATGTAAAGAGATATATAAACAACTGTGCAAAATCTATGCAAAGAAATTGTATTTTAAAAACTTTGAAATTTATCATACTATCACAATTTATTCTCAACTATTACAAATACACATGGTATACTCACTGCGCCCCCTAACCTCTGCAGGGGTGGGGGACCCATTAAGATGGTCCACCCCAGGAGGCTTATGGATCCGGATGGATTCCTAACGGCTCATGGGGACTTTCCCGTCGCCTCGGTAGGTGATCCTGTTGACACTCTGGTCACCCTCTGGAATGGGGAGTTGGCCAGGGCAAAAGACACGATTGCTCCAGAACGTCCCCTCTTAAGTAGCCGAGGTAAACCATCTCCTTGGTTTTCTGAGGAGTTGGCAGCGATGAAGCGAACAAAGAGGAGACTAGAGTGCATGTGGCGGAAAAAACCTAGCAAGTCTAGCCAAGCACGCCTATGCTTTTATCTAAGGGCATATGACATAGCAATAGAAGCCGCAAAAAACTCCTTTTATTCAGCTAATATTGCATCTGCAAAGAACCGTCCAACTGAGCTGTTCCGAGTAGTCAGAGGGTTGTTGAACCCCGCTTTGCAAAACAGGTCCCCTGTCGACTCGGCAGCCCACTGCGAAGCATTTGCTCATTTCTTTGGCCTATAAAGCCCTGAATGGTTCTGGCCCAGGTTACTTGTCTGAACGTATCTCCTGCTACGATCCATCTAGGGCCCTAAGATCATCTGGGGACACCCTGCTCATTGTTCCCCTATTGTCGCAATCGCGTCTGGTGGGGACAAGGGACAGGGCCTTTTCTGTGGTGGCCCCCTGGCTGTGGAACTCCCTCCCAAGTGAGATTAGATCCGCTCCATCCCTCTTGACCTTCTGGAATCAAGTAAAATCCTGGCTATGGGATCTGGTCTCTGTAGATTAGGCTGACTTCCTATATAAAAATTTAATAAATCAAACCATTTACATTGAGCAGAACTAAAGTGCGCTGTAGTACAATTGTATGCCTAAATTACTACATAATATAAATAGTGTATAAATGTTTAATGAAACACCTGTGGTTGTTGGGGTTTTTTTGTGTACAGTTTTCTTATTTCAGGTTCAATTGATCATAATTACAGGCAAATGTCTAGCTCTACATTTAAGTGGTTTCTGTTTTTTGTTTTGGTACCTTTATAGGCAGACAACACCGCTTCACAGAGATAGGTAGTTGAGAAAAGCAGCAGTACTAATTTTGGTTTCTCAGACAAGATTTTGAATTCATCTTGTAATGCAGGCCAAACACTGATAGACTTTGGTTTTGAAATGAAAGTCTTTGTTTGCTGTGAGATGTCAAATCTATGAGGACCTTGTGTTCTGCTGAATTTAAGCCGGGTGGTTTTTTGTTCACTCTGAACACATTCAGTACCCATTTAAAGTCATCAAGCAACTTCTCTTGAGCTGTTGGAAAACAATGTTCAAACAACTCTTTTAAAGCTTTGAGATGCGTCTGAACATTTTTCTGGTTTTTTTCCCTTGAATCTTGATGTTATTTTCATTCAAGCATCTTTTTGTAAGAAAGAAGCAATTGATATGTCCCCTTTCCACGTACTCCAACCAATACACAAGTGTCCTCTTAAAAGAAAACATCATTCTTGTTTGCATCAAGAACTGTGGCAGTTTCCTTGCAATGATAGATTCATTTTGTTCATTTTGCTAAAAATGTCAGCCAAAAACACCAGTTTGCACACTCAGTCTTCATCATTTAAAACTGTCACCAATAGAGCATTGTGGTCCATCAAAACTGCTGCTACCTTTGCACGTAGTTCTATCAAATGTGTCA